AAGTTACCACTGCGGCAAAAACTTAGCAAAATTATTCAAAATGTTTATGTACTATTTTTTCGATTAATAAAATAGAATTTCAATTACAAATATTGTACTTTCTATTTCTCTTTTGTAATAACTTATTATTTTACCATGTACAATTTGGAACTAGCAATATCAGTCGTCTAAAAACATCTACAAAACGGGTTTAGTGAATTTGTAGTTTAAAAAAATTCAGATGGGCTATTTTCTGCAAGAAACAAAACAGACATAAAAGGTTTAACTAGTAAAAAGAGTTTGATAAGCGTTAGCAATATTTTATCCCTATAAATTTCAACAGAGCAGCAAATAAAAAGTGTGTTTTATAATGGTAAATGTATGGGCTGCGTCGGCTTCTGCCAGTCGATGGTGGGGGAAGCTCGACCGCGCGGCCAACACTGAGCCAGCGATCCATGAGTTGTTTATATCGATGGATAAAAGTCATAACTTAAACGTTTCTATTAAGGCCATAAAAGTTGAATTTTGTTTCTAAAAGCGTTGGCGGATGTGTAACTATTATATGCAAGAGATAAAGATTAAAATGTTTCTATTTTGTGTCCTCTTCCCGTTGCAAAGCACGGGTACAACAGCTAGTATTGAATATAGTCATAGTGTTATACAGTCTATTCAATGGGGGTAGTATATAACATTTTGATAGTGAGTACCTTTTAATCGAAAAACAGTGAGCATTAAATACTGTAACTGTGGCTGCCTAACAGTATATTTATAGGTTACCATATACAAATAGTTTTTAATATAATACCTTTTTTGCAGCTCCTACTTATGGTTTATATAATTGAAAATCTCATTTAAGTACCCTTAGTGGAAAATAAATAGTTACAAATAAATTGACAAGATTGTTTTTACATATATTTAACAAAAACAGCACAAAACGACATATAGCTTAAGTTGTAGGGTTTTTATTACACTTTAATGGCATACGCTAAACTCAAGCACTAAACTACTAAGCCCGTAGGAGAACCCCTCGGACTATGGTTTTTCTTAATAACTTCAAAAATTTACTAGACGCTTACCGAATAGCCTCCCTCGTTTTGCGAAGTGGAAAACCGTGACCACAGCAAACAATCACGAATACAGGACCCACCGCAACGGCTGTTGCCGCGATACGGACAATCATCACGAATCTCGCCGCGATTAAGATATGGCCGCAATCACAAATAGGCCTTTAATTCATGGATGCTGAGATAATCGCAGGATATTATCGTGGATGTTGCCGCGATTGTGTAAGACGCGAATAACGTGACTACAATTATAATGGCGTTGCCAACATCGCAAGTAACGATCACACATCTAAGTGACGGCCTTTTAGTGAATTTCCTATATAGGGTATAAGCTATTACCGTAGTATTCATGGTAATACCTCTGGACCCGGGACTGCAAGGCGTGTAAAAGAAGGTGTGTGCACGCAAATCCCCCACCCCTCCAATCAGCCAATCAAGTATTTACTGCTTTACTGTTTTTCGATTAAATGGTACTTACTATCAAATGATCTAGACTACTGCCATATTGTATAACACTACTACAGTATATTCATTCAATGTTGAATACAACGCCATATTGGATATGTAAAACTAAATAGTGTTATATATTCAAAGCTGATTCCTAATGATTGCCATTCGAAAGTCTTTGGGAAATTACAGAAAACATATGATTTGGTAAAATAAAAGGTAAAATAAAATAATGGGTTGTGGTGGGGTGGCAGCGGAGTGGGGGAAGAGCCATAATCTGTCTCACTCCCACAGCTCGGTATCTCTCTCTCGCACCAATGCTACGAGGAGGACGCTTTCTAAGCGGCTGACCTATAATAGTGAGCGCGTTCTGGGAACATGTACCGGTGCACCGGTGTTGCCCCGGTGCAAAAAATGTGTCGTTCTGGGAGACCGGTGAGTTAACCTAGCAGACAGCTATTTCCTCTTTTTCCTCCACCGGTGCAAGAATTATGCACCGGAGAAATTGTATGGTGCATAATACACCGGCGGCCTCTGATTGGTCAGTTTCTTGGACAACGACAACAGCATGTAGCTACGGCAAGATGGCGGGTCCATCGAATAATTTAATAGTTCATCAGTTTTATAGGTTATGTTGCGTAATGTGTGAATAATTTATTCTATGAGGGTGTTATTACGTATTAAGTGAATAATTTTCAAATAATTTATTCTGTGAGAACAAGTTTGTTTGGTTTAAATATTATAAAGTAAATAATAGGTGAATGTGTATATTATAATCTGATGTGTACCTTAAACCGGTGAATAACCGTTCTTGGATACCAAGACTCTTGCCCCGGGGCGGTACCGGTGAATAAGTCACCGGTTAATCTGCACCGGTGCACCGGTACATGTTCCCAGAACGCGCCCAGTGAGATGGTTTGTAAACAAACAAATTTCAATTAGGTAATGCTAATGCAATTTAAAACTAACCTAAAATTTCAAATTTTTAACATTAGGCTTATGGGACTAAAGTAGCCATGACAGTTTTATGAATTAACAAGAAAAATGTAAACAAGATAATCATAAGTGTTCTGTAATATTCAGTATAATTAACTTTGTTATAATAATGCTTTCTTTTATCAAAAAGAAATACAGATGGCATTGATTTTTTACTTGTTTTAATGTATGAAAACATCATGTGATTTAACAATGATGAACTAATAGTAATTTTGTTAGTTGAAAACAAAACATCTAGAATGAAGATCCCTCTCTCTCTTTTGTAATGTTAATCTCTTTTAAAGCTCTGTGAAATTAATGAAAGTTTATTTGTTATATTAAAACTATTTGTCATTTGTATCTCAGTGTTTGTAATTTGTGTCATGAAGAATCAAACTCCGCTTAATGTTATAAATACAGTCCACTCCACACGCTACCGAAATTCTACATGGTCCTTCGGCCGCAGATCGTCTGAAATTCAGCTCTTTTGGTAACTATAAGCCACAATTAGTTCTACTCCAACTCTAACTTGCAAACCTTACATTCACTCCTCTATCATCACTAAGAAGTAAGAAGACTACCAAGACTACTGTAGATCTAAAAGGTCAATATCTAAAGGACTTTGATTCAAACTTTGATTCCTCTATATTTTAAGCATATTGTTTTTGTTGTAATTTATCAATTCAATTGACATTTCAATGTGTATCAAACTGTACAATTTGGTATTTTGTAATGCTCAGAGCCACTACTAATAGCGCTAATGTAACAATGCCATCTGTTATCTGTGTCTCGTATTGCAGATAATGACAATCTCTAATCTCTCTCTCTCATTCTAGTTCCCAAACACTTAAACAATGAAATTCGTCACCCTCTCTAGGCAATTAAACTCAATTGCGAATCGCTTAGCCAAAATCCAAACTAAAATTCAAGCTTTAGATTTATTACCTGATTTGTCCCAAGAACAAATAAATAAGTTGAAACTTTTAGATTCAGAAACACTTAGAAAATACTCAGAATTTGAAACCTCCCTTGAGAAACTATTTAATAGTGACACGCTTCCCGATGATTATGAAGAAGATACACTCTTTCAATTACAAGATACTATATCTGACTTATGTGTAGGAATTCAAACTCTCACGAAGAAACACCTTTCTCAAGATCATACAAGTCATAAACCTGTTCTAAACACTGACTCAATAACAAATACTCCATCAACTAGCCTACCACATAGGCCTAGTAGCTCTTCCTCAAACCAAGATAGCCACTCTCTAAAACTCCCTCCTCTATCTCTCAAAACTTTCAATGGTTCACCGGAACAATGGTTATCTTATGTTAGCCTGTTTCAAGTATCCGTTCATGATAATGAAAACATATCTAAAGTTGAGCGATTTCAATATCTGCTTTCTACGCTTCAGGGAGAACCTTTTAATCTTATAAAGAATTTACCAATCACTGCTGAAAACTATGATGTAGCATGGGATCTTCTCCAAAAACGGTATCAAAACAGTAGGAAAATTATAAGCATACATCTCAACAACATAATGGACTTACCTAACCTAAGTGACTCCTCCCTCAAGAACATTCGCTCGTTCATTTCTCAGTATAACGAAAATGCCCAAGCGCTTATTGCACTAGATCATGACATAGCCAAGGATAATATCTTGCTCTCATCCATGTTACTACGGAAGTTACACGCAGACATTCGCAAAAAGTTTGAAAGCTTACGTGTAAATTCTCAAGACCTACCAACCGTAGGTGAAGTAATAACATTTTTAGAAAATGAATGTGCTTACTTAGAAGCTGCTAACCTCTCTAACTCTCAGTTCCCTAGAACTACTTCAAGCAATAGCAATGTAGGTTTCACTCAAAATAGTAAGAGGTCCAGCCCTCACTCCTCTCAGATAGGCCTACATAACTCTACACCAAACCGCACTACTTTACTAGCTTTCAGAGACTCAAACGCCACATGCACATTTTGTAGTAAAAGTGATCACAACATTTACCAATGCTCAGAGTTTAAAGATTTGTCCGTACACGAAGTATACAATTTTTTGAGGAAAACCCACCTCTGTTTGAACTGTTTAGGTACAGCTCATTCTGTCAAAGACTGTAAGTCCAATAAAACATGTTTTCACTGTAAACTGAAACATCACTCACTCTTACATCAAACTAATAATAGGCCTAATGATAAGCTTAGCCAAAAGCCTAAAAATAATGCTCCAACACCTAAGGAAATGAATAAAACATATGATCACCCTGAACCTCCTTTTGTAGCTGTCTCCTCGAACCCTAATATGTACCACTATATTTCTAGCCACTGCATTGGTACACTTGAAAGCTAATAACGGTAACACAGTTGTAGCCCGAGCCGTTATTGACTCCGCATCTATGGTAAGCTGCGTAACAGAAAATATTGCTAACCTGCTTATGCTTAAACGGACATTTTCCAGTAATTCCAAGATAGATGGCCTATCATCAGTAGAAGTTAAATCTAAAGGTGTGTCAAAAGTTAACATATCGTCTCTTAGCGGAGAAATGATTGCTGATAACAACCCGGTCCTTATTCTAGACAGAATAACCTCAAACCTCCCACACTCAGAAGTTCCAGTTAATGTTAAAGAATACTTCAAACATTTGGTCCTGGCTGATCCAACTTTTCATCTGCCTAGTAAGATAGATGTGCTCATAGGTGCTGATCTATTCGCTAAAGTAATCACTGGTGAACGCATCACCATTAACAAGGATCTGCCTGCTGCCATGAATTCTGTATTTGGATATCTTATCATAGGCTCTGCCCCAACTCTTCCTGCTGTAGTCCCTCAAAAAACAGCCCCTCAATGCAAGGGTAATGTTTCTTTATTAAGTACTCAAGATATTGATTTGCACAATTCTCTGCAGAAATTTTGGACTCTAGAGGAACCTCCTGTCAAACTTCATGTAACATCTGAACAAGAAATTTGTGAAAATCACTTTCTAAACACAGTCTCTAGGGATTCAGATGGACGCTACTTTGTTAGGCTACCCATAAAAGAAAATCATCCCCCTCTTGGTGACTCATCATTTTGCGCTCGTAATAGATTCCTATCACTTGAAAGAAAATTAGAAAGTCAGCCTGAAGTTAAAGCAGAGTATAGTAAAGCCATACATGATTTATTGTCATCTAGTCACATGGAACCTGTTAACCCTCCTCCAAACAGTGATAATAAACAATTTTACTTACCTCACCATGCTATTGTCAAAGTAGATTCCTCAACTACCAAGCTTCGTGTAGTATACGATGCAAGCGCACGCAGCTCCTCAGGTGTCTGCCTTAACGATATTCTACATACGGGGCCAAAACTACATAATGATCCGAATGATATTCTGTTAAAGTTTAGACTATCCCCTATTGTCTTCTCATGTGACATCATCAAACAAATGTTTCGTCAAATAATGATCCACCCAGATGATAGAAACTATCAAATGGTGTATTGGAGAGATGACAAAGACGATCCCCTTTCAGTTTACCGCTTAACTACGGTTGTGTTTGGATTCAACTGTTCACCCTACTTGGCACCAAGGACACTTCACCAACTTATTACTGATGAAGGCGCAAACTTCCCTCTGGCAGCTGAGGCTTTGAAGAAACAAGTATATGTAGATGATGTAATTTTAGGTGCCAACAGCATATAACAAGCTTTGGTACTAAGAAATAAGGTGGAACAATTTCTCTTAAAAGGATGTTTCGAACTGATAGGAAATGGACTAGCAACTGCCCTCAAATCATGGAAACTCTTCCCGACTCTTACAAAGAAACTCCTCTATATTTCAACTCCTCCGATCAACCTTATTTCAAGGTTCTAGGTATAAAATGGTCACCTAACTCAGACACTCTTATCAGTTGAATATCCCAGACACATCTCCCACTAAACGAGGTATACTTGGAACAGTTAGCAGAATATTTGATCCAAACGGTTGGTTGACCCCAGTCACTCTTTGGGTAAAAGCGTTGATACAAGTTTTATGGGCACTAGGTTTATCATGGGATGCGCCTGTACCTCCGGATCTAACTGAAAAATGGTCTAAGTTCCTCCAACAACTCCCTTTCTTAAGTGAACTTAGCTTACCTCGATACGTTTCCGTAGCTGATGCTGTTCATATCAGTTTACATGGATTTTGTGATGGGTCTGAAACAGGTTGTGTCTACTTGCGATGTGTAAGTTCTTCCGGAGAAATCAACGTACATCTGTTAATTGCCAAAGCTCGAGTTGCTCCTCTTAAGAAGATCTCCATCCCTAGACTAGAATTGTGTGGTGCCCATCTTTTGTCCAAACTCCTAAACTATTGCAACTCCATGCTCTCTCAAGATTACCTTGTCAACGAATTACATGCTTGGTGTGATTCATCCTTAGTCTTGTCATGGATAAAAACTGTACCATACCGCTTAAAAGTTTATGTTGCAAATCGAGTCTCTGAAATTCAGGAACTTACTCCTACTTACACATGGAAAAATTTCTCAACTCATTGTAATCCAGCTGACATTGCCAGTAGAGGAACCCTTCCCATTTCTATGAAAGACAACAGTTTATGGTGGAACGGTCCCGATTGGTTATCTCTGGATCAGAAATCATGGCCTATTCATCGCTTCACCCCTCTCCAAGACGAACAATTGCCAGAACGTAAGGCCAAACCTTTACCAATAATGGTTACAACTCAAAAACCAGAATTATTCAATAGGTTTTCATCTTGGTCAACCCTCCAGCGAGTCATCGCTTACATTCTACGCTTCAAAAATAACTTAACAAACCAGGTTAAAGAATCAGGATTTTTAAAGCTTGAGGAGCTTAATAAAGCAACAATCACTATCTGTAAAGTGATTCAACAAACAGTTTTTTCTGATGATATTTCTAGATTGAAAGCTGAAAAACCTTGTTCCTCCCGTCTTGCGTCTCTCTCCCCCTTCTTAAACGAAAATGGATTGATTCGTCTTGGAGGTCGCCTTAAGCACTCTCAAGTATCCTACGCTGCAAAGCACCCGTAGATATTGATATATTGTCTTGCCCAAAACTAACCATGTCACCAATCTCATCGTTGATCATTACCATTTGAAACACTTGCATGCTGGACCTCAGTTTTTACAAGCCGTTATATCTCAGAAGTTTTGGATCCTATCTTCACGAAGTGTTATTCGAAGAAGAGTTTACAAGTGCATCTAATGCTTTAAATGCACTCCTAAGACCACCACTCAGAAAATGGGAGATATTCCTCCACAACAAGTCCTACCCTCAAGAGTGTTCAACAACTGCGGACACTCTCCAGACTTAACTAAAGTCTTACCCCTTCCAATCAATGATGAAGAATGAAAGAAGTTAGACTGTTAACCACCAGTTTATTGTAAATATGTTCATTTCTAAAATACATTTTTTCTCAATACTTGATTATTAGGTGAACCCCTCTTAGTGGTTCACGGGCGGGGGTATGTTCTGTAATATTCAGTATAATTAACTTTGTTATAATAATGCTTTCTTTTATCAAAAAGAAATACAGATGGCATTGATTTTTTACTTGTTTTAATGTATGAAAACATCATGTGATTTAACAATGATGAACTAATAGTAATTTTGTTAGTTGAAAACAAAACATCTAGAATGAATATCCCTCTCTCTCTCTTTTGTAATGTTAATCTCTTTTAAAGCTCTGTGAAATTAATGAAAGTTTATTTGTTATATTAAAACTATTTGTCATTTGTATCTCAGTGTTTGTAATTTGTGTCATGAAGAATCAAACTCCGCTTAATGTTATAAATACAGTCCACTCCACACGCTACCGAAAATTCTACAACAAGTTATTTCTGAACTTTCTAGACTTTTCTTTTAAACGTTTTTAAACCATTCCTACAATCTTAATAAATAAGAAAATACCGTTAAAACATTTTTTAAGGCGCGGAATTCACTGCAAATTGCGAAAATATACGGAACTATTTTCTCAATGCGCGGAGCATATCGCACATCAAGAAACAAGGAGCGGAGTGATACGGACCGGTGACTACTTAGTCTTTGGGCACCTATTTGTGTTGCCAGCTGATTGGAAATAAGGATTTAATAAGCGATATATTAAACCGCATCGAACTCGATATTTAATCCGATAATACCTCACAGGTTATATGGTTGAACTACATCGAGGGTACAGTAAGTTATTACACTTATTAATAAAACGCAGATTGAATGCTGATCTAATTTAGGCGTGTGGGGAAGGTAGGTCGGGGTTTATGAGTATTCGTGACTTACATTAAGTGTTTTGAAGTAAGGTTGGATTAGGGAGGTAAAGCGTAGGTTATAGGTAGGTGATCGGGTTGTTTATTTGTGTTGCAACATATTATTTTTTATCGTTTGGAATAGTTGGTTAAACGGGGAAACGATTTCAAAAATGCTTGCAAATGGTCTTAACAAACCATCTACAGTATTCTAGCATTGACTTTATATAAAGTCAATGATTCTTTCAAATTACTACACACAGACCAAAAGAAAAGAACATTTGGATTTGGACCTTTGAATGGCTTGGCTGAAAATGGAATCTGCATTTTGTGAAACAGTAATTTGGTAACAATTCAGTAATTTCAAATGTTGATAAGAGTAGCCTATCCTATATAAATACTGTTATTTGATTGCTAAGCCACGGACTATACATACGTCCAGTTACAACCATAATAATAAGTAAATAATTAATTACCTAGGCTTATAGAAGTCCACTTTTAATCACGGTATGGATAATTGTCTAGGTCTGTCAAGAAGTAAGCCACTAATTTCCAATTATATAGCCTATTGAATAATTGTTTGTAGTTTATTAGGAATGAATTTGATTTATTCTTGCCATCATTCGTTATTAAGAATATATCTTACATAATATTTAATTAATTGATTCAATGTACTGCAATTCATTCGGTTCTAATGGTAAACAGCCGGGAGATAAACCGGCCAACGCTTAGTCGCTTACTACACTATTTACCATTCTCCAATCGCGGGAGTAGCTGTCACCAGACATTATTAGAAGATGGCGGTCGCTCAGGCTACTAAGTAGCATTTTAGCCACTAGATGCACCCCCCTCCCAAACGTTGCCAAGCTTCTAATAAAGGTGGCGAATATATGTGATTGACGTAACAATCAATAGAAGAAATAATATGTTTATGACGCATAGTTATTATTGCAGCGTGGATAAATAAAAATATAGGTTACATTAAACGACTAATAAACAACTCTTAAGATTTTAAGAAAATTTCTGAATTAGGCTGATTAATTTGGGTTGTTTGGATTAGGCCTTTGTTGTGACAAAATACGATGACATAATTTGGAGACCAAATCTACATTGTGTATTTAAGGCATGTCTTCCCTTCTTATTATTATTCTGTTTTCACTTAAATCAGCTGAATGCGATGTTTACTTATTACTTAAGTTTAGGCCTACATTTCAGCCTCTTATTTTATTGTTCAATAAGTTGGTCTTTTTGCAGTTTTTTCGTTTTTACACATTAAATTACATGATTGATAATTCAGTTCATTTCGGTCTTTTAAAGGTGTTTTACATTTGAGCCTTACATTAAAATAGCCCTAAATTTTTCGTAGGCCTAAGTTTTATTAAGGCCGGTATTAAAATGCCTTCTCTAAATCGTCCTAATATTGGTAGAAGACCTACATTCCAGTTACATTACAATCATATCCTCCATCAAGAATACTTGGTATTGACAATCATAAATTATTTCCAGCAAAGAAAGCTGAGTTTAACCGGTTGCAAGGGTTGAAATGAAGACAAATCTTTATGTTTCACAGTTGAATTTAAATGTCAAATTTCCCCTCCTTTGTTATACTTAAATACTCGTTTTTAATAGTTACTGTTTTTTATACTTAAATACTTTAACCGATTGTAAGGGTGAAAATGAAGTCCAATGATTTTGTTGTAGGCTACAGTTGAGTTTGAATGTTAAATTTCCTTTCTCTTTTTTATACTGTAATGCCCTTTTTGGATGTTAATATCAGATTCCAACTACTGTAATATTTTCCTGGTCAAAACTACCATAATCCACTTTTGGAAGAGGTATCTGAATAACAAGATGTACGGTACTAAAAAAACTAAATTTGAATTGTTATAATTTGAATCAATAAAACACGAATTAGTACATATTTTAATTTTTTTACATTTAGTTACTTATACAGGGCTAGGCAAAAGTCTAGTTCACTTTTTAACGCGTTGCCGTAGGAAAACCAAACTCGGCACATATTTACAACATTAGAAATTTTTTTCCCCAGCCCCCAAAATGGGGTATTTTGGGGGCAGCCCCAAATTTGCAAATGTAAACACCTATCATGTGACCCCCTCATATTAAAAGGTTACTCAAGACAAATTAAATGGCGCAAACTAGAGGTCAATATCGCACCCCTAATCAAAATGGCAGTAATTTTTAAATATCCCCTATTAACTTCAGGTTATAGCAGGAAAACTAAACTCAGCATACCTTTATAAAAAAAAGATAGTTCACCTTTTGTTCAGAATTGAAATACAAAATTGTTAATGTTAACTGGGGGTGTCCAGACTTTATCTTGCTTGATCATCTTAAATAAAAAAAATGGCTACTATTTTGATTAGGGGGGCATGCGATGATGACCTCTGGTTTGCGCCAACCAATTTTTCTTGATAAATCC